ATTATATAGATATATATATAGATATATATATAAATAACTGTAACTAAAATTATAATGCATTTGAAGGTTTGTTTGACATGCGTTTAAATGCTTTATACTTTCTAAAGGTGTAAAAATAAATAGGTCATAATTCATGAGATTATATAATTCATCATAAGGTGCATTACAAGGCATAATTAATGCATTAATATACTTTTATAAAGCATTATATATAAAGGCTTTAAGTAAAGTGTTACCAATATTCCTTATATACCTAATCAGATCATGTTGATGTCTGATGAAGGTCATGAAGTTGGCTGAAATGTTTATAATCACTATTTATAATCAAGCCACATTTATTTATATAGCGCTTTATGCAATACAGATTGTTTCAAAGCAGCTTCACAGTGATAAACAAGAAAACAACATTATTAATGTTCTTCAACTATGAAACAAATATGATTTCTGCTGTAAGGCAGCTCTAAGAAGACAACAGTATCTTTATTCAGATCAATTTAGTTCAATGAAGAAATATAAAGAAAGCAAAGTCTATGTCTGTACAGTGAGTGCTGCACTTTTCTTCTAAAGTTTAAGATTTGACCTCTTGATTGAGCATCAGCCTTTTTGTTTTTGTCATTTGAACTTTATAATGCATGAAATCATCTGACGTTTAAAGGAAAGGAGTAAAAGCGCAGGAGTGGCATCAAGCCAGTTGACCAGGCTCACACTCCAGCGTCCCTGAAACACATGTATAATGACAGATTTGTGCATGCACTTTTAATTAAACTGTCAGACACATGCAACTGCAATATTTAACAGATGGGAAATGCTGGGTGGAGGTTCAAAAGCACATCTTTAAGGGACAGTTCACCCAAAAATTAAAATTCTGTCATCATTTGCTCATCATGTTTTCCAAACCTGGATAGATTCTGCTGAAAACAGAAGAAGAAATTTTGAAGAATGTGTGTAACCAAACTAGGGATGCAACGATACCATTTTTTCAGAACCGATACCAAAAATTCTGAGTATCGGCTGATTCCGATCCGATACCAGCGCAGTTTTTATTTTTTAAATCAATGTAGAATTTCTATACTTCTGTGTGTTGACCTGATCATCCCTCTTTTGTGTGTTAAACACAATCTACTAAATACAGACAACTTAATTTTAATGAAAATTAACAAATGAAAAAATATATATAATCATAATCTATGACAAAAAATACTGGTATTGTTGTAAAATACATTCATGAAAAACAAGTAGCCTATATACATATATATATATATATACATATATAATATATACTATAAAATTAAAAGACATTTCTTTTAAATGCATAGCACAGTAATGAAGGCAGCAACATATGATTGATAGAGCAGAACAAAAAAGACTATTAATAATCTTTCATTCAGTATAATACGAAAGGGTATGGCTCCAATAAAGAGCGGCACAAAGTGCTTATGTGCATCCCGTGTGCAGAATGACGCCGGTTTCACACTAGCAGAGCAGAGGCAGCGCAGAAGCAGCTGAACCGCAGCTTGTGTAATGCAAATACAGACAAGTATCGTTCATTCGGTCACACTTTTCAGGTGTTCTCCAACAACTGTCTGTCATGTGCTTTAGTTTATGATATGGGCAGCATACTCTGCTGTGACGCGGCCGTGTTCTCCTCTGTCCCACACACGTGCATATAACATGATGTATATAGGTAGTTTACATGATAAAAAGTAATCTTAAAGTTCATAAATGCCTCTAGTTTTAATCATTTAAACAGGCCTTTGAAGTTTGGGCAGTAACTCCTGGCAGTGATGTGTTTTCGTGTAGTTGATTCTGTGCTAACTTGATCTAATATTTGATGTTTTTTAAAATGTTGTAGATTTAAGTAGCAAATAAAAATCGCTAAAATTATTGAATATATTGTGAGGAAAAGCTCTTCTTAATGATTCCCAGTTTTGTTTAAGATAATTGAAGTAACAGTTTTTCAATAATTTTTACAATAATGTAAAAGTATGGTATTTGGGGTAAAAAGCGCCCCTGCTGTTAGGTCTAAAGGCACAATAATTGGCTGACTTTTCCATTTGTTGACATGACATGGTTGTCAGATGGTAAATATCATTATGTTGGGTGTCAATCTTAGAGGTAATCACCATGTTTATAATGAAACCATCATATTTAAAAACATGATAATAATCATATCATATAATAAAATATAATTTGTTGTTACTACTGTAAATCTATATAAAATTATTATGGTATTTCCTTCAGTGCTTTCAGAATCTTTACTTTTTTAAATGATTTTGTTTCTGTATTTTAAAATAGATTTTTATATTAACATTTTAATGACAGTATATTTAAAATTTTTTTTATTATTTTATTTATCAAAATAAGCAGAAAAACTTTGCTAAAGTGGTTGTTTTGAACAAGTATTAACTTAGACATTATTAAAAAAACATTATTTTAGCTAAAGTATTTGTATCGATACTGTGTGCCTTTTGCCCCATGCTTTTTACCCCGTGTGTGGGGTAACAACATATGAATAATATATAGATGGGAATAAAGCTGGTATATGTAAGTGCTGCTGACGTGGAGAAAAACTCATGGCCTTTAAAAAGATATAAAGGAACTGAAATCTACAGCTGCAAAAAGATAAAGTGTTATAAAATTAACGCTTAAATGTGTATTTTTGATATTTTGTTTTCACTAGTCTAAAAGAAGACATGCTACAGAAGCAAAATAGCTTTACATTTGGCTAGTGCATGAAAAACAACCAATGATTTGCTTGTAGCATCTTGCCTTGAATAGCTGATGTATGAACGATTCTCATGAACACTGCATTGAAGTTATGAACAGGTCTGTGTTTATGTGCACGTCTGTGTTCATATGATCCTGAAAAGACACCAAACACAACAGTGATAATGCATGTACACAGAGCAACTTATAACTAATATCAATGACCTTATAAATGGCAGTATTCAAAATTTTAAACTAGCACCTTGTTTTTGTCCTAGTCATTAACTACAACATGCTAAATGCTGTTGCTAGTCACTGACAGGTCGAATTATGGAGAGGTCAATAAGTGAGCAATTTATAGGACAAAAAGCTGTAAAGCTAATATGCTCAAAACTCCCATTCTGATTATCTGCACAGACAAACAGTTATGAGAGTATATTCTTCTTTATTCTAAATTAAATGCAAAACTAACCCTCAAATTACAGACTTTATGGGTTAAACTGCCTTATACTGAGTCCTCATGCACAGGCCTGCTGGCGGCTAAAGCTAACACTTGCTCATCATCCTATTCAGCCGCACCTTTAAGACTGAAAACTCAGCCAAATAAACTGATCCGAAACAGAACCTTTGGTTTAAGTCTTATTTTATTTGCGTTAAGGCTGTTCGACCCCATACGCCGGCCTCCGTTCACTATAAGCACATTGCTGTAATCCCCGTGGACTACTGAAACGGGTAACTAGATCACTTCTTTAAAGAGCACCTTAATGGATTGGCCTGCCTGCCGCTGGTTTGCTTTTATAGCACATGCATTAAATGCATTGACTGTCTTCAGGCATTTTGCTACTGCAATCTGTTCGCATATTCAAACTGTCACGTCTGGCGGAGCCGAATTGTTGTAAAACACCAAATTTTGTTATGCATCATCCAAACTAGGCCTAAAAGTGCTTCTTCTGTAGCTATTCTTTCATGCACAATTATGCACATACTTCAGGCATGCAAAGACACAACTGTGCAAGCGAGTTCTGAGAAGCTGGAAGGGCCGTAATCAGACGCAAGCACTCGTCTGCTGATGAGGACAGGTGAGTGTTATAATCGCTCCTGCGCTGACGCCACACGCACACACACGCGCACACTCTTCAATCTCATATAACACATGCATGTTACATCATTACAGCATTCATGCAATTATCACGGCTACACGATGCATTCTTCTCTGCAACAGCTCAAAGTATGAACACGTCACTACAGGTAAAAGTGACCTACCCCTGTCCTGTGAGCCGATGGAAAGCAAAGAGTCTGCGTTTGGTACGGCTGCGGGAATCTTTGGTTCGCTTTGGGCTGAAGTCGTACCTACCATCCAAAACCCTCTCAACGCTACCACGGCAACAGCCAGAGGATTATGGGACTGTACCATTCTGCTGTCAAAGGGGATTAGAGCGCACACAACATGGCCCCTTTATTTCTATGTGTGTGTGTGGAAATGACCAGATTACCCTGTACCGCCATTCTCATCCAGGCTTTACAGAGACGGTGAGGACAGCTGAGATTGAAACTTCAAATGGTCAGTAAAGTGAGTGCAACATAGTCAAAAGTTTGGCCGTTTCACTAACTAACCTCAAGCATTTAGGTAGAAGCCTTTTGCACACATACAGTATGCACACAATGTACATATTGATGAGAAAGACTGATGCAATCAACCTGATTTAGACTTAAAGGAATAGTTCACCCCAAAATGAAACTTTGCTGAACATTTACTCACCCTCAGGCCATGCAAGATGTAGACGAGTTTCTTTCTTAATCAGATTTGGTGAAATGTAGCATTCCATCACTTGCTCACCAGTGGTTCCTCCGCAGTGAATGGGTGCCGTCAGAATGAGAGTCTAAAAAGCTGATAAAAACATCACAATAATCCACAAGTATGTTTTTAGGAAACAAATCCATCAGTAAGACTTATTAACTTGAAATCATTGCTTCTGGCCAAAATATGAGTCCATATCTCCTGTTGTTTCTCACATCAAAATCCTGCCATATATTTGTTTAGAGCTGTTTTGGCTTGTAAACAGTGCTTGATCTGTGCAGATTTCTCTCCTGAATCAGACCAGAACTTTTTAATGGATTATGGACTCATATTTTAGCTGAAGGCAGCGTCATGATGGATTTGTTTTTTTCAAACACTCTGCTTTTGTCTTCTCAAGATGTTAACGGATGGACTGGAGTGGTGTGGATTACTTGTGGATTATTGTGATGTTTTTATCAGCTGTTTGGACTCTCATTCTGACGGCACCCATTCACTGCAGAGCATCCATTGCTGAGCAAGTGACGGAATGCTACATTTCTCCAAATCTGATCTGATCTTGGATGGCCTGAGGGTGAGCACATTTTCACCCATTTTTGGATGAACTATTCCTTTAAAGGTGATAATTTTTGCAACACTGGAAAAACCAAAACTGGATAAACAGTCATAAATTTTCCTAATTAAACATGTCTACTGCACCTGCTCCACCCCCGACTGCCATAAACAGATGTCAGTCCTAGCCCAAACTCACATCACTGGTTGAGTAAGAGTTGAGTATTAAATTGGTATATGGGAAAGCATTTTCACGCGCACGCACACACACACACACACACACACACACACACTGGTTTCAGTATACAGAGTTGCTCATTAGCTAGTATTACAGATTATGGTGTAGTCCATTACATAAGAGCAGAAACAACATTAATTTGAGTGTAAACACAAAATAAGCCCTGAAAACCCCCACAGGAACAGACACATCATAACACACACACACACACCATATAATCCGACTCCTGACCGGCTGCTTTCACAGAGGAAATGACTCGGTTCAGGAAGAATCCTCTAGAAACATCGTTTATATCAATGACACTTCAGAGCGCAGAGAAGCGGCCGAGCAATAACAGCATTACAACAGTTCACCAGTGGATTGAGAGGATTACGCTACACTGGTCAGTATGATGCAGGCCAGCGCTTTTCAACTGGTTTTGCTTCACAAGAATCACGACCCAGATTTTACACGAGGTGACCGACCACTAAAAAGACAAATTACTGTAGAAAATTAAATAAAAATGTCCTTAAATTTAAACCAAGAACTGCATGTGTAAAAGAATAATATGTAATAATATGTAAATAAAATAAAATAAAATACAGCTGACTAGACCTTTGTTGGGAAAAAAATCAACTATGAAGAGGTAACAGAGCTGAAACATGAGCAACAGTACAGAAAATATTTTATATTTTGAAATGACTACAAGTAGTCAGAAATATTTAGCACTCCATAAAAAAAGAAAATATGATATCTATTTTGACAAACTAAAACGCAATAAACTAAACTCATTTTCTAAAATAAACTACACAAAATTAAACAAAAATTCCCTTAACATCAAATCAAGAACTGCAAATTTAAAAGAATAATATGTACATTGAGGACTGAATAGGGAAATTTAAAATTTGACCATGAAAATATTTTTTCTTGAAATAAAATAAACAATGAAATAAAATATAAAAAAAACTATAAATGAGAAAATATGTATTTAAATAAATAAAAATAGATATCATTTTTTATTGAAATATTTTTCTGTTTTTGTTTGTCATTTTCATGTAATTTAACTTGATGTACTAAAATAACAAACTAAAACAAAAATAGGCTAAATAGGCATTTTAAAAAATCTCAAAAACACAACAAAATCACTAAAACTGCAGATAAAATAAAAATAAAAATGCAAAATACACAAATAAAAACTACTCCAAAATATGAATAAAAAATACATCTCAATAATACTAAAATAACACTGCCATTGGCCCATTTAAATAATTCATATTTTTTTGCTAAATAAGGAATAAATAATATGTTATATAATATAAGCATTCCTGTGTTGCATCAGAGATGCTGATGTTTTTGCTCAGTGTTGGGAAACATGGGCGTGTTTTTGCTCTCACCCTGCTGTCTCGGTCCTGATTCTCTGAAGGGTTTTCTGCCGTCACACTGCTCTGGTCTCTGGTGGAGGTGACAGACAGCTGCCTCTGCAGACGCAACACCTCCTTCTGAGACTCCTTCAGGAGACGCTCAAACTCACTGACTCCCACAGGACCCTGAGAGAGATGTGATCAATCATCTCAATGACATTCACACATTCACAGCTTTAGGAGCAGTTCACATAAATGGTCCTGCAGTGACACAAATGAATTTCTGTGCCAGGTTTAGACTTCAAAATTTATGTCCATGTACTAAAAGCATGTGTTCAGTAAATGCTGACTATGTGCAGTATATGACATCCCCAGCAGGTGGCAACAGAAGTCATAATAATGAAAATGCATGAGGGAACTGAGAACTGAAATATATGAGCAGCTGCACAGAAATCATGTTATAAATTTAGTAATTATTACAATCAACAAGTTGGTCAGATATTTTAAGAAAAAAAAAAGAGATCTAAATAAAATAAAATGATTCAGATGCAAAATAAAAAATAAATAAATGCCAAAATGAAAAATAAGACTATGGAGGACTAAAATTCTGAACTAGAATTAAAAAAAATAGGAACAACAGACCATGTAGTAGCGTGTAAGCCGCCAGCTTGATCTCCACAAACCGGCGACGAGTGTAACTCACGCCACCTCTTCCATGCTTTCGGAGTCGGATGTAACTTCTGTAGTTCCTACTTTTTTCGGCTTTTGCTTTGCTGATTTAGGTGACATCTTAAACAGTATTCACTTATAAACAAACTGAGTAGAAACGTTGAATGAAACTGGGATATATTTAGAAAATTTAGAAACTCGTGTGTCTCTTCAGCAAGGCGGCATAACTCGATGGCTATCTTTTTAAGACTAGTCTAAGCAGTTTATGCAACCGGCCCCAGATCTGATGCAAATCAGTAATTCTTTAAGCAACAGTACTAGTGATGCTTGACTTGGCAATAATAATAATAATAATAATAATAATAATATATTTTTAACTGCAAATAACAATAAAACAAGATAAACTTTAGTATAATATAATAAAATCAAGTTGACTTGCACTGTAAAATGTTTGGGGAAAATTTATACAATACTCCTCTGGAGACACTGTAAAACATATCCAAGTATATTAATATCTGAATTATTTAAAACAACACAAACTAAAAGACAGAATCAGCTGAACTAGGAACAAAGGGCATGTGTGAGAGAGAGACAGGACTGATACAAGCGCGTACCAGGTGTTGTGCTGTGAGCGTCAGTCATTACCCATGAGCACCTGGGAGCTGACAGGTGGACTAGAGTTACAGTGTACCAGACATACAGAGGGGTGAAGGGCGAGGATTCGCTGTCTTTATGTCCAAACTCTCTCATACACACACACACACACACACACGCACACACGCACACGTCATCATTCACTCCTCTATTGCAGTATTGTGTGTAGTTTCGTCTTGTCTTATGTAACCAGTATTGTTGCTCTACATCAAAAGCTCAAAGTCATTGTAAAACAGAAGCTTGTTTAAGAACAGATCTGTAATGTATTTAACTAGTCACAGTCATTCAGGACAAATTCAACAGCAAGAAAAGTCAATAAAAGCTCAATCTGTGCTTTGGTTTTTTATATTCGAGACGAAAGAGAGCACTGAATGAGCCATGAGTGTGTTTGATTAGTAAACACTGGACGGGTTGGTCAGGTCAACTGCTAAATATTGTATTGTTGACTTCAAAAGATGCTAAATGACAGGATTCAATATCCACCAAAGACAAAAGGGCAGATAAATCCAGTAATAAACTTAATGAATAGTTCCATCAAAAACATATTTTGCAATCATTTACCCATCGTCTATCGCATTAAAAGTATAAAATCAATGTAATGTCTTAATAATCAGACTTACATGAAAAACCTAAAAGATTGACTGTACTTTTGCATTGATGACTGAAATGCATTTTAGGCAAAACACAACAGGTGTATAGGGCAAAAAATTAACTAACAATTAGGGCTGCCCTCGACTAAGGATTTTTCTGGTCGACTAGTAGTCGTTCATTTTAAGCATTAGTCGACTAATCACATGTTTATTAATAAACCATTTAAATCATTATAATGAGCCTTTAATTGCCTTCATAGCCTAATAAGCGATCAAGCGCACATAAAGCTTGCCACAGCACACCGGCAGAAGTGCTGTGTAAGAAACGGTAAGGAGACTGCATTAACATTTTAATAATTTGATAAACTAGTGCCTTCTTTGTTTTCAGTTTAAGAGATGAAGTCGGAGACACTGACACTGACTTGTCATCTCCGCAGTAGTGATGCACCTGTGTGCATGTTTCATACGGATTACATAATTTGAGAATATTTGTTTTACATTTGAATTGGTTCATTTGAAAGTAGACATTTCACTCTCTATAGGTATATTTTTAACGTCTGTAAGGCAAAGATATACACAGAGTTTCGCGCTCAAGTTCACAGAGACCGA